GAGCAAGGTAGGTTGCGAATTTCTTGTAGTACGGGGGACTGCGCAGTTCTTGAGTTGCAAGGAGTTTGTAATCAACCTATAGTCGGCAGTGAGGTGCGGACCTTTGAGTCCACACAAGTACGTAATTTGTCAGCAATCAGTGAATGAAATATGCTGACATAACACCCCCTAGGGGTAATTTATAATCTTACAAATTATAAATCATTTCAGCCCGTTGAGGAATGACTTCGACAGCTTCTCAAGACCTCGTCTGCAGGGGCGGCTGTGCAGGCGATGAGCTGTCTTTCTAAGTTAAGTTTTCCCTATATTTAAAATTGTCTTAGCTGGTAAACCATTTTCAACAAAGGTTCTTAATATGAGGAAGGAGCTTGGTATTTCTAGTACAGTGGACCCCCGCTTAACGATCACCTCCAAATGCTGCCAATTATGTAAGTGTATTTATGTAAGTGCGTTTGTACGTGTATGTTTGGGGGTCTGAAATGGACTAATCTACTTCACAATATTCCTTATGGGAAAAAATTCGGTCAGTACTGGCACCTGAACATACTACTGGAATGAAAAAAGTTCGTTAACCGGGGGTCCACTGTATCAGTGATAGGATTGTTGAGATTAACACTGTACTTGGTATTAGAATGTTAAGAAATGAACCAGACACTGTCACTATGAATCTTTCTAAGTGTCTAGAAGTAAATACACACAGATCTGAATGGATTGTGAAAATGTGCAATTGCATTAAGTTTGATAACCTGAATGAACTGTAACACTGTAGGCAAGAGCATTTCACCCCTCCATGGGAGATGTGTTCATTTAATATCACATACCTACAAGTCCCTCCCAAGAAGCTCATTACTAGTAATCCCTTCCTTAAATCACTTGTTAAAGCAACTGTTCAAGAAGAAATTTCTCACTTAGCTGTTAGCAATAAGTTATCACAAGTTATATACACTGATGGATCTAAATAGGAGTCTTCTGGCAGGGCTGCATCTGCTCTTTTTGCACCTCCCTAGTTAAGAATGATAATAAACTTGTTGACCTAGGCATAAGAATTAACAACTGGGCATCTAGACTGCAAACTGAATTGTTTGCAATCCTAATGGTGCCAAAGCTAACTTATGACACTGAGCTTGACTCGATCATCATTATTGATTCCATGTCATCACTGAAGGCTCTTGATTCATATAATGACTCCAACAACATGCTCATTGGAGAAGCCAGGTATAGATACTCAAAAATCCGGGACAAAGGAATTAATGTACAATTGCTATGGATCCCATCACACATTGGATTACTCCTTCATGATAAAGTTGATATGTTAGCCAAGAAGAGTACTCAGCAGGAGAATGGAAAATATAACTTTGGTATATCTGTGTCTAGCATTAGGAATATTAGGAGGGAAATAATGAAAATGATTGTTATAGAAATGCAGTTAAAAGCCTGAGTAGATCTATAGCCCACTATGAGGAAGTGGAAAAGAATCTTTCCTCCGTAAGCCATGCGTGTCGTATGAGGCGACTAAAATGCCAGGAGCAATGGGCTAGTAACCCCTTCTCCTGTAGACATTTACTAAAAAAGAGAAGAAGAAAAACTCTATAAAACTGGGATGCTTGAATGTGCGTGGATGTAGTGCGGATGAAAAGAAACAGACGATTGCTGATGTTATGAATGAAAAGAAGTTGGATGTCCTGGCCCTAAGCGAAACAAAGCTGAAGGGGGGCGGGGTAGGGGTCGGCCTAGGAAAGGCTGGAGGGAGGGGGTAAAGGAGGTTTTGTGTGCGAGGGGCTTGGACTTCCAGCAGGCGTGCGTGAGCGTGTTTGATATGAGTGAATGGAGACGAATGCTTTTTAATACTTGACGTGCTGTTGGAGTGTGAGCAAAGTAACATTTATGAAGGGGTTCAGGGAAACCGGCAGGCCGGACTTGAGTCCTGGAGATGGGAAGTACAGTGCCTGCACTCTGAAGGAGGGGTGTTAATGTTGCAGTTTAAAGACTGTAGTGTAAAGCACCCTTCTGGCAAGACAGTGATGGAGTGAATGATGGTGAAAGTTTTTCTTTTTCGGGCCACCCTGCCTTGGTGGGAATCGGCCAGTGTGATAATAAAAAAAATAAAAATAAAATAGATAAGCATGTTTATGGAGCAACGTGCAATGTGAACAGATTGACTGATGTTGTGATGGACAGGCTTGGGCTTAGTTACAAGTACTTCTGGCAGTTTGGGAGACACACAGATGATGATCAAACTAAATGTAAATTATGTGATCAGGTATATGGTCACTGTCTTGAACACTATGTGCTTAATTATCCACTTACTGAGGAATACAGAGATAGACAGTATAATAACCTATGTGACATGTCAAGATATCTTATTAATAAAAATAAGATGCCAGATATACTGAGCAAATTTCCTAAATTTGCTTGTAACAGATAAATGAACTGTAGATAAAAATCCATATGTACATCTGTTAACCCTTTTGGGGCCTAGTTCCTAGGCCTTTTGTGTATCCATATGCTCTTGCGCTACCGTCCACTGGATGGATATGGGGTGCACAATAAACTAGCCATTTCGGTGGAAAAATCTAATCTTGTGATTTCAAAGCCAATCTTTGTTCTGACACTAATATTAGGTACTGAAATAGTACTCAAACAGTCACAATCACACTGACAGGTGAATATTTTCACCTGCCTTGGACATTTACTATTGTCTAGAAATATATACAAAGTATTTATAGGTCTCAGCAATGTTTTAGACATGCTGGAGTATATATGAAACTTCTTGAAGCATGGTGTTTATGACTAGTGTAGCTAAACTGCTGACAGGGTAAGCAATGGTATGACACTTGATGATAAAGCACTGCTGCATGGAACCCTGGCTTCATTTCTTTTCACTGTTAAACACAAACATGTATGTCTATCTATTTATCTGTGTCTGTATCTCTGTCTATCTGTCAAACTCTGCTTAACTGTCTTTCTGTCTGCCTGTGTGTCTCGGTCTTTCTGTCTATCTGTCTGCCTGTGTGTCTCGGTCTTTCTGTCTATCTGTCTGCCTGTGTGTGTGTCTTTCCGTCTGCTTGTCTCTCAGTCTCAGAGAGCGGCTCGTAAACCAACAGGTACTACACATGATGCAGAAGTGACAAGGTGTATTACTTGCCAATCATGTTTATTACATCTAATATCTATAAGTACTGTATGTATAGCACTTTGCCTGAAGTTTTGGTGTTATCCTAGATAATTTACACTATGTATAATAACTGTACTTATGTGTATGTGTGAGAGAGAGACAGAGATATAAACAGATATATAGACAGACTGACAGAGACAGAGATATAGACAGACAGATACAGACAGAGAGACAGCCAATAGAAAGCCAGCCGGCCAGTCTGCTGAATACGTATTATACATGTTCCAGAATTGTTTCTCTTTACTTAGGGCATAGGTTATAAGACATTCTGGCAGGATGACACTACCAATGGTATCAAAAATGAAAGGATGTTGCACAAATGTTACACATGGGTTATTATCGAGGTTTTTTATATTTCCTCAACCACTTGTAAAGTAAAGTAAAGTTTATTTCTTTGTAAAGGTTACAATGTGTAATTACAATTTTGATTTGCTAAGTACAAAGATAGCCACTATCATGCCCAGGAATTTTGGGTAAACTAATCCTAATACATAGTAACTAATTAAAACTAAATAAGATAATAGTACATAGTAACTATACTTAAAACTAGACAAGTAATAGTGGTTAGCTGTTTAACAATCTTATTTAAACTTAATTCAATCTTATTTAAATTTAGAACGAGTAGGGTTTGGTAAAATAAGCTTGAAATTGCACACAAAATCTACCTTACAAGTAATGGTGCAGGTGGTAACACATGTACTTTATGGAATGGCAGAATTAAAAGCCAGGAGGTCACATGATAAGACTAATTAGCAGATGTTTTGGTAGATTTGGTTAATATTGAGAAATAAGATGATTTTATGGATTGGCAGAAATAAGAGCCTAGTTAGCAGATGTTTGGTTGATTTGGTTAATATTGTGAGATAAGACAATTTTTTAGCAATGTCCTAAATTTATAAGCTGTCAGGGGATCCCTGACCTGTTCCATTAGTGAGTTCCAGATCTTCGGGCCTTTTATGTGCATAGCGTTCTTGCATAGTGAGTCTGACTCGAGGGATGTTGAAAAGTGCCTTATGCCTTGTATTATGCCTGTGCATTCTGTTGTAACTGTCAGGGAGTAGTTTTAGGGGAGGGTTTACAGTGGAGTTTAATGTTCTGTATGTGTAGTAGGCACAGTAATAAGAGTGTATGTCTTGTATATTTAGCAAGTTGAGTCTTTTGAAAAGTGGTGGGGTGTGCTGTCTAGCACAGGAGCTGGTTATCACCCGCACAGCAGCTTTTTGTTGGATTATTAAGGGTCTAAGGTGGTTGGCAGTGGTTGAGCCCCAGGCACAGATACCATAGGTGAGGTAAGGATATATTAGAGAGTAGTACAGGGTAAGGAGAGTCATTTGTGGTACATAGTATCATATCTTGGAAAGGATTCCTACTGATTTGGAAATTTTCTTGGCTATGTGATGGGTATGGGACTGAAATTTAAGATTACAGTCAAGGAGAAGACCTAGAAATTTGCCCTCCGTGTGTCTTGATATATGACATGACATCAGTGAATCCCTGGTGTATGCCACACTATTTGCTCTAGCTGGCACTCAATTGAACAGGTGCTCCCACAAGGTACTAAGTGGTCCCAGATTTTTTTAATACTGCACACACCGAGTGTTAAGACCCATTCTATACAGACCAGGTATCTCAGGCCAATCATGCCAAATTTGAAGGCAGCAAAAATAAAATGTAGATCTACGTTCGGAGCTCTACGTGAGTGAACATAGATCTACGTTTGGACAGTTTAAGGTAGCCACTCAAGCTGCATGTCAATAATGGCAACAAGTCATTAAATAAAGCTTATCTTATCTTATCCTGCAACATTTGTCTCCACATTACTAACCTCCACATCTTCGTAACTGGTAAAGTACTCCTCTTGGAAGTCCTCAGCCACTTGTAATGGAATTTCTGCATCAGTCCCTCTCTCATTGTCTACAACCTCTGGTGCCATCCTTGTGCCACAATACACTATGTCAACCATAGAGTTAATCTGAAGAAAAATTTTAATGCATATAATTTCTCTGACTTCAAGTACTTTATTATATACAGGAAGCAGCTATATAAAGTTGCTAAACAGCAATGAAGAACAAAATTTTGGGGGGATTTATCTAATCAGTCTCTCTTTATTTCTCTCTGATAAATTTTCAGAGAATATGGATATTGTTGCAACCCCTGAATGATTGCAATGATTATTATGTATATATATAATTATTACCTTTTCATTTAATTTTATATTGCTTATATTTGCGATAATAGCTAAATCGTAAATGTATTGCTTTATATTGTTATTTGACGTAGTTTCCTTTGTTAGGTAGGATGTAACATATTATGTGCTCAGTTCAAGTCTTGATTGTCTAACTACTGTAATTATCGCTTGTGGCTCGTTAGACTGCCGGCTTCTGAGCTGCAGTTGTCCACGGAGCTATCACGTGATCGAGGGGGGGGGTTTCCTCACCTCGCCTAAAGTATTCAGTCTGCTCTAGACTCGCTTGGTGGTTGGACAGATTGTCTGTCTCATTATTCTTGTTAGTTCTGTAGAACTCTGTTCACAGAACCTTGTATAGACTTAGTGATTTTCGACGTTGTACTGAGGTTGTGTGTCTCATAGACACTCTGAGCATCTCAGGTCCTGAGCTGTAGCTTCTCACCTAATTTGTACTGGTATCTGTGTATTATCACAGTCGGGGATTTTCTTATGCTGAACTTAGATTCAGTATTATGGGAGTTTGGTGACTTTCGTGGAGGATCTGCTGATGGTCTCTACTTAGTGTCGTTATATTATCTCCTTGTTCCTGATTCTGTGTCGCAGTTGCTTGTTGTATTGCTATTGGGCTTTAGCATTCTTTTTGTTGTTCAAGCAGACTGTTCTGGTTGCCAGTCGGTCAAGAAGTTAGTTTATTAGAGGACTTTGTCAGTCACTTGTTTAAGTCTAGTCGAGTCGTGAGACATAGCGAACTACTTAGAGCACTTACACACATACACAAACTTACTTGTACATATTTGTAATATCTTATTAAATGTTAATGTACCAGACGGTACTTAAGAATTATAAATGTGATATGTGCTTTCAGCACAATAATACAGTGGACCCCCGGTTAACGATTTTAATCCGTGCAAGAGGGCTCATCGTTATGCGAAATAATCGTTATGCGAATTAATTTTCCCCATAAGAAATAATGGAAATAAAATTAATCCGTGCAAGACGCCCAAAAGTATGAAAAAAAATTTTTTTTACCACATGAAATGTTAATTTTAATACACACAAACTGAAAAAGGCATGCACAATTACATGACACTTACTTTTATTGAAGATCTGGTGATGATTGATGGGATGGGAGGAGGGGAGAGCATTATCTTCTTACTGTTTAGAAGGGGAATCCCCTTCCATTAGGACTTGAGGTAGCAAGTCCTTTTCTGGGGTTACTTCCCTTCTTCTTTTAATGCCACTAGGACCAGCTTCAGAGTCACTGGACCTCTGTCGCACAACAAATCTGTCCATAGAGCTCTGTACCTCCCGTTTCTTCAAGACTTTCCTAAAATGGGCCATAACATTGTCATTGAAATAGTCACCAGCACGGCTTGCAACAGCTGTGTCAGGGTGATTTTCATCTATAAAGGTTTGCAGTTCAAACCACTCTGCACACATTTCCTTAATCTTTGAAGTAGGCACAATGGATTCCACAACTGGCATAGGCTTCTCAGGGTTAGCCCCAAACCCTTCAAAATCTTTCTTAATTTCCATACTAATTCTCACCCTTTTTACCACAGGGTTGGCACTAGAAGCTTTCTTGGGGCCCATGGTCACTTATTTTCCAGAAACACCACCGAAAACACTGTAATAATACGAAATATTCCGAGTGTATGCTTGGATGTTACCGCGGAGGCTGGCTGGTAAACAATGGGACGGCCGGCACATGTGAGGGCACATTGGACGCGTCTCGGACGAAAATCGGTATGCGGGGCAAAAATTTTGCGATAAAAGTAATCGTTATGCGGAAAAATCGCTATGCGATGCCATCGTTATGCGGGGGTCCACTGTATTGAACTCGAGAGATGTGATATTATTTTGATTATTGTGATTAATTTAATTTAATTTAATTTGATAATATACCTCTAGACTTAATAAATTTATTAAATTTTAATTTCTCTAGTTAGTAGCCTACCAGTTGTAATCCTGAAGCACTATTGAATCATACTGAATTCTAATGGATAATTGGACAAGGATACTGACTAATTGTTACGAAAACCCAGTAACAGGCTGGATGCTAGAAGGGCAGTCCTTTCTAGTATTCACTGGAGATCTCTAAGCTTTTAGAATCGCGTTTTTTGTAACATATACTCGAGAGAAAGGAATCACCCAGTCAAATTGATTTTCAAGACAGAAATGGTGCAGAAGAAGATCTTGTAGCTGAAACTATGGCTAACAGCAAAATACCAAAGGATGTACCTAGATTGTGACAGAATGAGAACAGAACAAAAGAAAATGAGAGAAAGGATACAAAGATGCAATGGGCAAGAGAGATGAGGCTAGAGTCAGGAGAGGCCAATCAGAGTTGGAAGGAACAAGTGCAACAACCACCCACAGAACCACTCACGAAACCCTGTAACCAAATATAGTTCCGATTTTTAAGAGAGGAGAGAGAGAGACACAGCATTAAATTACAGACCAAAGTCACTGACATGCAAAGTTTGAAAAATCATGAAGATAATCAGGAGAAGAGTGGTGGAGCAGCTAGAAAGATTATACACAACAACCAGCATGGTTTAAGAGAAAGGAAATCTTGTGTCACAAACCTACTGGAGTTTTATGACAAGGTGATGGAAGTAAGACAAGAGGAGAGGAGAGGGTTGACTGCATTTTCTTGGAGTGCAAGAAGGCTTTCGACACAGTTCCGCACAAGAGATTAGTGCAAAAGCTGGAGGATCAGGCAGGTATGAGCCTTGTATGGCTCATATAAAATAAATAACTTTTAATAAATAAATTTTAACAAGTCACTTTGACTGGATTTTTTTGGGGTTATTTTAGGTACAGGAGGGTCCTGCTTATATGGCAGGTTAGGTTCCAGGCTACTGATGTAAAGTGAAAAATCACTGTAAAGTGAATCATAGCTTATTTTCACTTTCAAGTACTACATATAAAAGCCTGATAACATGTTTACACTATAATATATTAAGTGTGCAATAGAGCTAGGTCTAAAAGAAATACATACAGTACACACATTACTTACCTCAAAATGTTTTCCTCCATAGCGTAAAGTGAGTGGTGAATATATTTACTGCAGAAGTCTAAATAAATGAAGAATGGGTATAATTGAAAACCAGTGTATTAGTGAAACACTGTAAAACAAGGCCTGCCTGTAATTTACACTATGTATGATAATTGGACATATGTGTACCTGAACCTAAATAAACTTAATGACTTGGAAGTTAAGTCATTTTGTGTGACTTTCTTTTTTTAAGGTTATTTTAAGTAATTTACAAGTTACATTATGCATGATGAAAAACAGTCCAGTGATACTGACAAGATGTGGAAAAAGACAATTAGTATATACAATTTAGGACATTCATTAAAGGAAACGTTTCAGCCTTTAATAAATGCCCTGAACTGTATAGAAGTCTCTTTCCACACTATGCATGATAATTATACTTATGTGTACCCACTTACACTTACACTAGCTCAGTTTCTAGCACACTCAGCTCACACACTGAGGTCTGGGGTTCGATCTCTAGCAAGGGTAGAAACATTGGGCATGTTTCTTCACAGGGGTGTCACTAGCACGTTAAGAGACCATACAATAAGTGTCAGGGGCCCGAGACTGTTCAACTGCCTCCCAGCACACATAAGGGGGATTACCAACAGACCCCTGGCAGTCTTCAAGCTGGCACTGGACAAGCACCTAAAGTCAGTTCCGGATCAGCCGGGCTGTGGCTCGTACGTTGGTTTGCGTGCAGCCAGCAGCAACAGCCTGGTTGATCAGGCTCTGATCCACCAGGAGGCCTGGTCACAGACCGGGCCGTGGGGGCGTTGACCCCCGGAACTTTCTCCAGGTAAACTCCAGGTAAACACCTGTTGTCCATGTTCACCTGGCATTAAAATATATACCAGGTTGTTAGTCGACTGGTGTGAGTCGCATCCTGGGACAAAATTAACCTAATTTACCTGCAATACTCTGCATGACGAGGGGGTTTCTATATGCTATGTCACTGATGTCACCTACGTCTGTATAAGCTGTATGATGTACTTGTAGAATTTTTTTTTTCAACAAACCGGCCGTATCTCACCGAGGCGGGGTGACCCAAAAAGAAAAACAAAAGTTTCTCTTTTTAAATTTAGTAATTTATACAGAAAGGGTTACTAGCCCCTTGCTCCCGGCATTTTAGTTGCCTCTTACAACACGCATGGCTTACGGAGGAAGAATTCTGTTCCACTTCCCCATGGAGATAAGAGGAAATAAACAAGAATAAGAACTAGAAAGAAAATAGAAGAAAACCCAGATGGGTGTGTATGTATATGTTTGTACATGTATGTGTAGTGTAACCTAAGTGTAAGTAGAAGTAGCAAGACATACCTGAAATTTTGCATGTTTATGAGACAGAAAAAAGGACACCAGCAATCCTACCATTATGTTAAACAATTACAGGATGGTAGTACCTCCCTGGGTGGTTGCTGTCTACCAACCTACTACCTAAAACTTGTAGAAGTATATTATTATAATCAAAACTAACCACTGAACCCATAAAAGTCATTGAGCGCTTGTAGAAATATAAATTATTACTTTCTTAGTTACTAATGGAAATAAAAAAAACGACTTTTTTGGTGTTAAGAGACGATATTTTGTTGGGATTTTTAACCCCGGAGGGTTAGCTACCGAAGATAACCCAAGAAAGTCAGTGCATCATCGAGCGACTGTCCATCTTATTTCCACTGTGGTCCTCAATCTTGTTCCCCAGGATGCCACCCACACCAGTTGACTAACACCCAGGTACCTACTTGCTTGCTAGGTGAACATGGACAATATGTATAAGGAAACAAGCCCAGTGTTTCCACTCTTGCCGGGGATTGAACCATAGACACTGAACGTAAGAAGCGTGAACGTTGCCTACCAGACCACGGGCCAATGGTAATTTACACACATTACAATATATAATAATTTGTGTAACTATTTATGTATATCTGTACCTTACTTTATCCCTTACTTACTCTATAAATAAGTTTATTCACGTACAGGTACACAAATACAATTACATAAATTATCATTCATAGCAGCTTATGTGTAGATTATCCAGGATAACCCAAAAAAAGTCAAAGTGACTTACTAACTTGTTGTTAAGTTGTTCCATCACATGGCCGACCACCAGATGTTGTTGTTGTTATTAAGGGTCACCAGAGTTCACACATTCTTCAGTCTTGTAGTTAAGTTTATTTGGGTACAGGTAAGTAAGTAAGTAAGTAAGTTTATTCAGGTATACACAAATACAGTTACATAGAATTATCATACATAGCAGCATATGTGTAGAGAATCTAGGATAGCCCAAAAAAGTCAGACAGTGACTTATTTCCATTGGGGTCCTTTGGGGTCCAGTTCCTGGACCTATTATGTACCTCTGTAATCTTTTGACTACCGTCCACAGGATGGGTATGGGCTGCATAATAAAGATATTAAACTTAAAAGTACACATAAATACAATGATCATACACTGTGTCAATTACCTACGACAATCCCCCCCAAAACCAATAAAGCCAAAAGTAAGGAAAGTTTCCCCTCAATGACTGGACACCATTCACAATATCTTACAGAAAAATAATATGCTGAGAATAAGAAATGAAGCCTATGAAAAATTGATTGCTGACACAGAGTGCTCCCTACTATCCCAAAATTACAAGTATCAGAGACCTAGAGCGCCGTCAAATAACTCAAAAGGTAAAATTGTGCAGAACTGTATTTCCACCTTTCTCACTGCACACACCTCTACTAGTTTTACCACATTTCTTGATCTAAAATCTGCATTTGATATCGCGAACAGAACCGTTATACTACATGAACTAGCCAAAATGAATATTGGTGGTAGCCTACTTTGCTGGATAATAGGATACCTGTCAAATAGAGTATCCTCTATCCACTACCAAGGCTTTAGAAGCGAGTCTAAGTAAGTAAGTAAGTAAGTAAGTTTATTCAGGTATACACAAATACAGTTACATAGAATTATCATACATAGCAGCATATGTGTAGAGAACCTAGGATAACCCAAAAAAGTCAGACAGAGTGACTTATTTCTCTAGGTATTTCTCTAGGTATTTCTCTTATGTCTCTAGGTACACCGCAGGGAGGAGTTCTCAGTCCCATGCTATTTAATATTCTGATTGTGGAAAATTGCATCTATCTGAATGTAACTCATTATGTACATAACAGTAAATGATAACAAAGATAATTATTATTTATCAGAGTTACATAGACTAGTAGGAATTTGGGACACCTAGGTCACAAAAAATGTCCCCCTTCGATACCTACCACTGTCATATCCACAAGTTGTTCTGGACCTATTAATTATAAATGAAATATACATACACCAGGAATACTGGTAAATATATAAATTTGTGGACTGTATATTAAAAATAATAAATGGTTTTATATATTTTTTTTTTTATTTTTTATTATCACACCGGCCGATTCCCACCAAGGCAGGGTGGCCCGAAAAAGAAAAACTTTCACCATCATTCACTCCATCACTGTCTTGCCAGAAGGGTGCTTTACACTACAGTTTTTAAACTGCAACATTAACACCCCTCCTTCAGAGTGCAGGCACTGTACTTCCCATCTCCAGGACTCAAGTCCGGCCTGCCGGTTTCCCTGAATCCCTTCATAAATGTTACTTTGCTCACACTCCAACAGCACGTCAAGTATTAAAAACCATTTGTCTCCATTCACTCCTATCAAAACACGCTCACGCATGCCTGTGGAAGTCCAAGCCCCTCGCACACAAAACCTCTTTTACCCCTCCCTCCAACCCTTCCTGGCCGACCCCTCCCCCGCTTCCTTCCACTACAGAATGATACACTCTTGAAGTCATTCTGTTCGCTCCATTCTCTCTACATGTCCGAACCACCTCAACAACCCTTCCTCAGCCCTCTGGACAACGTTTTGGTAATCCCGCACCTCCCCCTTTAACTTCCAAACTACGAATTCTCTGCATTATTTCACACCACACATTGCCTCAGACATGACATCTCCACTGCCTCCGCCTTCTCCTCGCTGCAACATTCATCCCCCACGCTTCACACCATATAAGAGCGTTGGGTTTAAAACTATACTCTCATACATTCCCCTCTTTGCCTCCAAGGAAAAATTTCTTTGTCTCCACGGGACTCCTAAGTGCACCACTCACTCTTTTTTTCCTCATCAATTTCTATGATTCACCTCATCTTTCTTTGACCCACCCGCTGACACGTCCACCCCCAAATATTCTGAATACGTTCACTCCTCCTTCTCTCCCTCCAATCTGATTATTCAATCTTTAATCACCTAATCTTTTTGTTATCCTCATAACCTTACTCTTTCCTGTATTCCCCTTAATTTTCTTCTTTTGCACACCCTACCAAATTCATCCACCAATCTCTGCAACTTCTCTTCAGAATCTCCCAAGAGCACAGTGTCATCAGCAAAGAGCAGCTGTGACAACTCCCACTTTGTGTGTGATTCTTTATCTTTTAACTCCACGCCTCTTGCCAAGACCCTCGCATTTACTTCTCTTACAACCCCATCTATAAATATATTAAACAACCACGGTGACATCACACATCCTTGTCTAAGGCCTACTTTTACTGGGAAAAAATTTCTCAGTATATATATACAATTATATAACAATTATATATACAATTATATAACAGAAGGAAAATATATCTTAATATCACTCACCAATTTGACTGGAGATTAATGTGTCATGTACAGGATTCCCCCTTTTGCCTACATTTATGAAAAATTTACTGGCCAGAATTTAAATATAAATTAGACAGCTTATCTGAGGTTCCTGGAGTTGTCCTGTCCTGTCGCCTGATACTCAAGCTATGCAGGAATGCACATCCAACAATTTCGCCTCCTATTTGAGAGGTGTCAACCCAATTTTAACCTCTAGAGCACGAAAAATTCTTCCCATTACACTAACGTTCTGTTCAATTCAAACAGGAATGGCGACTGACCTGCCCAGCCGCAGGTTTCCCATTTTCGATAACATACTTCTTTTAAAAATACAACATAGGGCATCTATTTACCTATAAATTACCGTATTTCCGGAAAATATATACAGTATTTTCCACACTGATTAATGCACTCTCTCAATTCTTTACCGGCCTCACCTAAACATATAGCTATCGTGGAAAATATTTTTCCAAAATTATATTGTATAATTTTTTATAATGTAAATGTACATGATTAACGCATTACTGTTGGTCTGTGGTATATTTGAAAGTGGAGAACCAACAAAGAAGCTCTGTGCATGCGCCGGGTGGGCACGCATTAGCAGTCTCGTGGAATATAGGCCTATGGCGTGGGTGTCCTAGTCAACATGGAACATGGAACCTGGTTGATCTGACCCTGATCCACCATGAGGCCTGGTCTCAGACCGGGCCGCGGGGGCGTTGACCCCCGAAACCCTCTCCAGGTAAACTCCAGGAGAAGGGTGTAACACAAATCATTTGTTATTAATAAGGTGTCATGTAACCCTGTACAAAAGGTGGTGTCTTGTGACACAGAGAATGAGTATCATGACACAGGGAACAGGGTGTCGAGTGACACAGAAAGCGTGTTATGGTACAGAGAACAGGGTGTTAAGTGATACGGAGAGAAGGCTTGTCGTGTGGCACAGAGAAAAGGGTGTCTTGTGACACGGAGAGGAGTGTCGTAACACAGAGACAAGGGTGTCTTGTGACACGGAGTAGTAGGAATGTCATGACACTTAGGGAAATGTAGTGTCAAGTGACACGAGATAGGTAGGGTCATGACTAATTGTTATTGTAATGTGATAATAATACCAAAAAAAAATATATTCTTATTTTATGTTTCTTTGCAAATCAAAGACTGTACTCTTTTATGTTAAACAATAATTTTACTAGTAAAGATTAAAAAGTATTGTATGTGTTTTGTATTCCAGACTATATTGCATATTGCAGGTTTGGTAATGGGCGAGTTTATTAATTATACTATAGTCCTATTAGTTTAGCTTCCCCTAGAAGCTTCATTGCCAAATTTGTAATATTGTAATAGCAACATAATGTACAACTGTCATCACCATGCAAATACATGACACGCCAGTATAATTAAACAGACATCAACTATCTCCCGTCATACACGCATTCAAGTATAACTTTACACACACAGAACAAGTATCAAGCACTTGCACTTACCACAATTTTTTTTTAAAGGAGTACTGAAGACAGAACACAGCTCAAGGCCCACAAAACAACACACACCACATAGATAGTACATGAATGTACCCACACCATTACACATAAAAGACAGCATTATTATACCCCGATACACCAGGTATACCATACAAAACATTGTCGAATAAAAGAAAAAACACATCCTTCAACTATACGCAACACACATAACTATAAAGTATTACAGCATTAAACATCCTAAACACCAAGAACATATCACAAAGGTTCAGTGTCTGAATCCTTATAGACACGCACACCACTCACAAAATGCCGTGCCCATATGACAACAGGAAAATGCAAACTCCCTTCCTGTAAGCTTTTTCACCCTGAAATGTGTCCCTCTTCAGTACAGGAGAGACTGTGCTATAACTTAAATTGCCAGACACACCATCTAAAGGGGACAAAAAGATACAAAACATCCAGGCCATGGGAAAACCTGGGTAGCCACAGCCACTCAAGGGGGAAAGGTTTTTTAGTGCCAGGAAGGAAAAAAAACTGGCAGGAAATGGCGGAAATCGTACACCGAATCCAGTCATTCCTGGAGTGCAACCACAGTCGATGGCCTCCACTCCAAACCAACAGATACAGATACTAATGCGAAAAAAAAGTCCCCCCTCCAGTACCAACAATACCACCAGTCCGATGGCATTCTTCTTTGCAAATATACAGGATCTAAAGCCAGCAACGAACAACAAAATACCTTTCATCCGTGGACTGCTTGCAAAGGCAAATGCAATGTTTGCGGCTTTCACAGAGACCCACATAAAGGATCACTTGGACAACGAAATATGGATCCAGGTTACAACCTATACAGATGCGACAGAGTGAACAGGCAAAAAAAAAAAAAGGG